GAAAATTGGTGTGAGATTTATGAGGATGGATGGTGGATTATATGGAGGATTCAGAAAGGATTAGGTTATAGATAATGCCACGTGGCATGCTGTCATTTGTTAAAAATCTGGTGGAAATCTATCCTCAAAGATTGTAAACAGATTGTGACACGTGGTGCGACGTGATTGGTTAAAAATATTATCGGAAATCCATCACCAATAATTGTCTTTTCGAATAATGATATGTGGCGCAACGAGAACGATTAAAAATTTTGTCCAAAATTATGAATAAAATTATTTTGAATTGTTTTATGAATAAAAAAATACTAATATTTTATTGCTATTGTCTTTTCGGATAATGACATATGGTGCAACAAGAAGGATTAAAAATCTTATCCGAAATTGCAAATAAAATTATTTTGTAAAAAAAAAAAAATATTAATATTTTATTACCAATTGCCATAGGTATTGAGTGTAGTGGTGGAGATGCAAAATACGATTACTGTTCATTAAGGGCAATTACTGTTCATTGGATGGATAACATAGTGGATTGCCCTAGGGACAATGGACCACGCTGGAACTGCTCTAAAGGGAAGGTCTACTCCAGCTTTCTATAAATAGATGTACCAACGTCCAAAAATATCTCTGCCTTTGGAAGCTTATATCCCCTTTGCTCCAACTTTGATTCATAAACAGTTTTCGCCTATGCGTTTGTAGGATCGAGAGCTATTCAAATTTACTAAGAGTGACTCCAAAAGTTTTACAAATTTTTAATGACTAAATACGAAGTTTCGAACTTTGTAACTAGTTAACTAAAGCTCTAAAATTAACAAAAATAATATAAAATTTCGTAAATACAACATAAATTACAATAGTGAAATTCGGGAATGGGATTTCACACTTTTACACTCCTGCAACCGCTTCCTAACCCGACTTCTGCAACTAAATCCCCACACTAATTCACGCATTTTTCTAGCGAATTGAAGTCACCCACCACCATCAAATGACTTAACAACACTCCAAGATTGTTTTTCACCCAAACTCGACCTAGTTTAGTCAATGTTTCCCGACGAACAATGCTCGTCAATTTTCGAGCTCACAACTGACGATCTCACCATTTCTAGGCATCTTGACATCAACCATCACCACTAGACCTGTAAACGGGTCGAATTTATTGGGTTTGGGTCGGGTTCAATCCAACCCGTTAAGTTAACAGGTTACTCGAACCCAACCCGTTCAGTTAACAGGTCACTTGAACCCAACCTGTTAAGCTAATGGGTCACCAGAACCTAACCCGTTAATCTAATAGGTCACCCGTTTCACCCGTTAACATTTTTCTTTTTTTTTTGGCACTCCAATACACTTACACATATTAGCTGCAGAAATTATGAAGTTCACCTGATTGAAAAGGATTCCCAAGAGAGCAAGATTAGCAGCCATATTTAATGCCGAAAGCCATTCAATCTTGTAACCTCAGATCATAGTGAAAAAGTCTAGTAAAACAAAGAGCAAAACTTGCTATTAAAACTCACGCACTCCTCCTCCTCCTCCCCAAAATCCAAAATCCACAGTTTCTGGGGTTTGAATTTACTTATTAATTTATCAAATTACAATCGACTATGCTCCCCAAATTCTAATTTATAATCTCGCCAAGCGATGTTGACTATCGTCGACAAAATGTCCGGTGACCTCTACATGACGCCGGAGCTCTGCAGAGAATGACTAAGCTTACCAACTTAGCCAGATGAGCACATTATATAATTCAGATAGAGGTGTTTGCTTAGCAGGTTTGGTGACCATGGTGCAACCAGCAACTACGAGTTTATTTTTTGTTGTTAAGGTTTTACTGAAATTACTTAAACATCCTCAACTAACGGGTGTTAACGGGTCTAGCGAGTTGACCCAAAGTGACCCGTTATTTAACGGAACACCTGCTAACGACCTGACCCATTAAGCATCCACGCAAATACTAATATTAACTGGTTGGGTTAACGGGTCGGGTCCAAAATGCCAGGTCTAACCACAACCAATCGACTCATCTTGACCCCATGAAAAAAATCCAACCAAGGTTTAAGGCATTACAACATCAATGACGTTGAATCGACGATCACCCTTTTAGGGCTTTCTGGCCCTTCCTTGCGGTATTCCAGTGGAAGTAAGGTACAATTCTTACTCCACTCTTACGATCTTCATTTTGGTATAATTTGAGCCATTGTGGCATGTAGGTGGAAATTTCAGCGAGTCGTGACTGCCAGTCGTTGCGTGTGGTGGTGGCTCGTGACCAAAGAACCCACTTAGTCCTTCTAGGCTAAATTTGATACTCTGATTTCATCTTTGACATCCGTGTGTTGTAATTCATTTGTTTGAGCCTAGTTCCTTAATTGTCCACCATTTGGGCGAATAAAGCAAAGGAGATTTGTGGTTGTGGGATTCAGTCAATATCATAATACAATGCTTAAATGGAAACATTGATATAACCATATTTTATACCCTTCAGTTTAGATTCTTGTTATATTGTTTGAGTGAGTTTAGTTCACTTTCACTTAGTTTTATGTTTTTCATAGGTTTGAGGAAAAAATATGAAGAAAGAAGAAAATGGAGCATTTTTGCGATTGAAATGAGTTTGGCATACTTGAAGCAGAAGCTGTCTGTGCAGATCAGCCAACTTTATGGATTAAAATCTACTACCTCAGATGGAACCAGTTGTTGATTCATATACCATTGGAAAGATATGGAAGTTAGCTTTCATAGGAATATTACGGTTCGTGATTTCGGGTTTTCTAGAAGACATTATAGCGATTTTTATACAGGACGTCAGTCAGCAAAGTCTACGAGGAGATTGCAAAATCTGTTGGGCTTTTAAGTCATAATTCAATTGAAGCCCATTGCCCAAGAGAGAACGTGTACATATGACTTTATTTCTATTTCAAAAGGGTCTGAAGTAATTTACTTAGGAAGTTTACTCGCCACATCATCAGTTGTGGAATACAAATGAGGAAAGGATTGCAAAAGACCTAATTATGATAGGATTTTGATCCATATATAAAGGAGAGATTGTAGGAAGTCTAGAAGGAGGTTTTGGGGAGACACTTTATGGTTTGCATGATTTTATCGTTCCCTTGTACGTAATGAGTTCTACTTAACATGCCCTAACTGGATAAAATGCATGTTAGGATATATGACCTCTGCCCTAACTTGAGAGAATCATATACTTAAGGAGAACTATGGTCTATAGTTCCTTAACTGGACTTAGATACGGGAATAGCCATCTAAGAGACGAAACATTCCATTGAATGCATTGAAACCTAAACATGATTGCTTGTGGTTGATTCTCCTTAGACCTTCATCCCTTGTCTTAAAACCCAGCATTTTCTTCTCTTTAATTTTCTGTTCTATTTTTATTTGCTTATAAAATCATTACAACAAATTCTTCATATCTCTGTTTGAATTGTTAATTATGGTTAAGTCTAGTTCATTGTTTGTGTTTATGTTTATATTTTCATGTTTTTGTATCTTTCATATAATTGGATTTGGTTTAGTTTATCAAATTGGAGATTGAATTAGAATCCTCGTGGGAACAATATTTGGACTTGCAAAACGCTATACTACAACTATCATGTGCACTTGCAAATTAACACCAAACATACAGGGCACGATATTGTGATGTTTGAAGACATGCATAAGTTGGATGTTTTGTAGGATGAAATTTGGAGTGTTAGCAACGATAGTAATGATTTTTGTGTAAAAAGCCACAGCAGTAATAGGTAAGTTATGTGGTAGATTAATAATTAATAATTAATAATTTAGTTAGTTCAATAGTAATGATTTGAAGTTGGATTAACGCTACTGTCAACTTTAAAATTAATCAGAATTTCCTTGTATGTTTTGGGGGTGTCTGGCTTACTGCAAAACCGAGACTAATAATAATGATTAAAGAATGTTCTTCTTGTTGAGAGATTTTTCAAAGGGCTCGGATACGGGGCGATATGCCACATGTTATTATATAATTGGTGGAAAGTTTTTTTTTTCTTTTTATTTTTTCAAGTGTCCCTCTAATTGTATAATTACATGTAATGGATCACTCTGAGTTTTTGGTACATTGAAAAACCTCTCCTTCTTGTCAAAGATCGTTGTTCCATATGTCTTTGTTCTTTTACACAAACAATAGAGCAATTTTATTTGAATTTTTTATATATTTTATTTAAAAATATAGGAAATTCACATTTGAGACTTCTTCCGACATAACATGTTATTAATCTGAAGAATTAGTTCTCAACAATATATTCGAAGTTTATAACTATGTTGATAAGTTGGATTATACTAATGAAATTTGTGCAATATATGGATGACTTGGGGATCTGCTGGCTGTTCAAAAATTGGGTCAAAAAGGAAATCCAACTCATGCACAACCCTACAAAGGGAGGGAAGGAATAAACTTAAAGACCTCATGGAGTATAGAAGGGATGCTTGAGTAACCAAGTTATCCTAGAAAGCCAAAAAGAAAACAAAACAGTGAATTTTTCTCTCTTTCTTCAACTTTCTGCTAACCTAACAGATAGTTAGCTCTTATTTAGAATGCCTAAGGGCATGCACTATGCTAGTTAAAGTTATTATTGAGCTTAACTTGGTCAATTGTTTCTGTCAAAATGAAAAAAAATGCAATGTGTCCAGATTTTTTAATTTTTTCATTCGACGTTATTTGAATTAATCTAATCTAAATTTCGAAAGACGGAGATTCAAACTTGAATGCAGAAGGAGGAGCACATTGTTATAGTCAATTTAACTAACTCAAGTTTGCAATGATCAAAGTTTAATGACATCCTAATAGGAACCACAAAGCACCCATAATTATATTTCATAAGATGCTAACAACCAATACATTTCTTTGCTTCCCCCTAAAGATATTCCTGCTTAAACAAAAACCTTCCTTCTGTCACACATTTTCTCTCGTCTTTTTACGATTCAATGTTCTTTGTTCCCATTTTCTACCTCCCCTTCCATGCAATCAATATCTATATATATAGCTTCTTCAAACATCTTGCTATCATATTCGTCCGAGAAACCTGAATCAAAACCATGACTGAGAATAACAGGATTATCATCTTTATTGGGCTTTTTCTTACTTTGATATCAACTCGAACTGTCGATGCCTCCGTTGTTTCAACAGGTGACTTCAACAAAGATTTCTTTGTCACATGGTCTCCTGGCCATGTAAACACTTCAGCTGATGGCAAGACAATGAGTTTGAAGCTTGACCAAGAATCCGGTACATGATCAAAATTCATAAACTCTTTTAATTAGTCGTAGCATTTCAGAATTCTGATGATGTTGTTTTTCGTTTCCCCTAGGTGCTGGTTTTGCTTCAAACCAGATGTTTTTATTTGGACAAATTGACATGCAGATTAAACTAGTACCAGGCCATTCAGCAGGCACAGTTGTGGCCTATTATGTAAGAAAAAAGAAAAACCATTTCCCTCTTCTTCTTCTTCTTCCACATTTTTGCTAATGACTGAGTATTAATGGATTGTATATGATCAACTGGAAATTAATCAATGCAGTTAACATCTGATCAACCTAACCGTGACGAGGTAGACTATGAGTTCCTTGGCAATGTTGAAGGCAAACCATATATCCTTCAAACAAACATTTTCGCTGACGGGTTGGATGACCGCGAAGAGAGGATCAATCTGTGGTTTGATCCAACAAAGGACTTCCATACCTATTCCATATTATGGAACCTTCACCAAATTGTGTAAGCCATCTATCAAATCAGATCAGTACTACATTTTAATCTTTCTTTTACATATTTAAGTTAAGTATACACAATAAATTTATGGGACAAATTTGGTGTACTTTTGCTGCCTGTAGATTTATGGTGGATTGGGTTCCAATTAGACTATACAGAAACCATGCAGACAAGGGTGTAGCATTTCCAAGGTGGCAGCCAATGAGCATCAAAGCCAGCCTATGGAACGGCGACAGCTGGGCAACAGGAGGCGGGCGCGACAAAATCGATTGGTCGAAAGGCCCCTTCATAGCTTCATTCAGAAACCACACGATTGATGCCTGTGTTTGGAAGGGAAATCCCAGGTTTTGTAGGGCAGATAGCCCTACAAACTGGTGGAACGAGGAGAGGTTTAGTACCCTATCAAATGCACAGAGAAGGTTGTTTAAATGGGTTAGGAAGTACCACATGATTTATGACTATTGCGAAGATAAGGAGAGGTTCCAAGGCAACCTTCCAAAGGAGTGTTCTCTACCTAAATACTGATATAAAAAAAAAAAAAAAAAAATTACCAAAAATATTAATTTCTCTTTCATTATTTGTTTTCCTGTATTTTTTTTCTCTGTGTTTATCTTGTAGCTGATTTATTTGTAAGATAGAAATTACACAGAGGTTTGTTTTGGATGAGACTTGGAAGTAAAGTAACTTTTCTTTTGGATTTCCTTTGCAAGATGCCAAAATGTTTCTTCACTTTTGCTATATTTGGAAGAATTTAAAAGAAAAGGTAAAGGGATGCATTCTTAGGGCTTTTGAACCTTTTTATACAAAAGAAATCTCTTAAAATAAAAGGCATATATTGTTTTTTTTTTTTAATTTCATTTATTTTATTTTATTTTATTTCCATATAAAAGTAAAGGGCTTTCCAATGATCATTTTAGTTTAGTGATTCGATCAAGTATATTCTTAGCTTAAAATTTGAAAATGGGATTTATTACACCGTATTAATCAACAATTGTTGTTCATGAGATTTGAAATCAAGATTCAACAATGTGAAGCTAGATGCTACTAAACCACTTTCATCATTGGGCTGCCAATGAGATTTTGTTCTCTCTAATTGGTGATTTGAATTATCATTAATGATCATTGCGACTGGTATTTTGCATAACAAGCAAAAGATGTTTCTACCAAGACATGACGATAATACACCACAATTTTGCACGAAAACAAAGGGTTTGAGTCGAGCCTTATAAAGTCAGTTATGTAGCATATGAACACATTTCTTCTTAATGGGTCGGATTATTGTTTGTTCAAGAAACACGTTTAACGCTATAGCACATGCGTTTATATTTGTTGCGTAATACAATATATTTAAAATTTAATACAATTGAAATATACCACACGACACAATAAAATTTGCGAAGGAATTTGATTTTATATATTTGGACACGATAAGTTTATAGGTAAGGTTTTTTTTTTTTTTTTTTTTTCCTGAGAGATAATTGGTGGCAAAACACGGTTATCCATCCCTTCCGAGAGCTGGTAAGACTCACAGAAGCATTTCAGCCTCCCTTGTAGGATGGGTTTGTCTTTGGAATATTTTCACCCAACACTAGTAACGATAAAAACATGAAACGTTGCCAAACGGCCCAATCAAGAAGGGCCGTAGTGATTAAATGATCTGAAGGCCCAATTAATTCTGATTGACAAAGCCCATTACACGATCTGAAATTCTAATGAAACAAAATTAGAATCAACGAAAAAAAAAAATTTAGAAAATTGCTGCCGTTTCGTCCAAAACCCTAAACCCTTTGGTCGAGTACAGTTGAGACAAAGAGGAAGATGGGAAATACAAGCAAAGACCTTCTGCAATTGGAGCACAAAAAGGCTTCAACTTCACCCTTAGGTCTCTCTCTCTCTCTCTCTATGCAAATTCATGTAGCTTACATTCTGTATATTTCTTGCAGAAAGCACGCTACTTGTTTGTAAAAATGCCTCAACGAAGAAAGCTCAACCCGAAGGGAAACCCATCCCTGCTCTTCCTCTTCCCGGAAGCCAAGGTACTCGATTCTCCCCATTTAAATTTTGGGTTTTTCTTTCAATTGTGAAAACTTCAATTTAAAGGAATTTGAATTATGGGTTCTTGGTAGGAGATTAAATATGAGATCCATTTGGTGTGATGCGCGCATATGTGAAAGATTTTATTTTCCGGCTAGTAATTTTCTATGTTGGTTTCTACTTGGCCAACTAAATAATGTTTAAGTCTCAAATGGGTCTATAATTTTGGTGATGGATGCTTAATTTCTTTTATACGGGGTCTCGATCCCAGCATAGTGCCTCTGCTTCTTGTTTCCTTTTTAAATTTCCTATATTTTATATTTTGTTTTCGAACTTCCTAAGTTACTAAGTTGTAGTGGTTTGAGTTATAACTTTGAAGGGTGTGACTCAAAGTCTCCTGTTATTGGAATTCTCTCATTCTTCATATTCCTGCGCTGAAATTTCATCGTTTAATTTGACGAGATAGGATTATTTTATGTGCTGTTTACTTTTTCTTTGCTCTGGTGTTATTATTTTCTTCCTCTTTTGGTTTATTGGCAAGCATCTTGCTTGAGATAGAGGGTAGGAAGTACTTCATTTTCTGCTTGTGATTGGCTTGAATCTCTGTTTATGTCGATCCACTACAGTCAATTAATTACTTTACCACGGAATATTGTTGCTCATACATTGTTTCCCTATTCATATTTTTCCTTTTCAGTAGTGAGAACTTGCATTACTTGCATAGTTCTAGCTGAATTTTCACAAATTTTTAGTGTTAGATGTGATGCTTTATACACTAGCTGATGATTGTGTATATAATGTCATGAGGAGGTTGTAAGGCTGGTTTAGCCTATGCCCCAAGCTTTATTTGTTTTAGGCAAATGAAAACTTCATTGATGATCAGAAAATATGACAAATTTGAAATAGATTACAGAATGTTGTAGCATCAAATTTGAAGCTGAAGAGATGGATGTTCTAAACTGTTTGCCTTGCCCGTTTTTGTTTGCTCAAACAGTAATTTTCAATTTATCATGCACTTGAGATTCTCTGATTCTGTTTTATTTCTAGTGTTGTTTTGTTGGAAGTACCATGCAAAATATTGTTCATATTATTTGCTTGCTTGGCCGCAGTTTTGGGGCAAGTAAGGGACTTTTTGGGAGTCATATCAGAAGCTAACGAACAACTATACCGGGATGCAAAGGTTGGCACATCGATCTTGCAACCAAATCTAGATTATTTATCCCACAATTCTAACATCTGTTTCAACACATAACTAACTGTGTTTGCTCATTTACTGACATGTAGGATAATCCAGAAAACTATGATATTGAAGTGCTCACGGGCAATGAATCTGAAGTCATTAATATGGTCTCTCTCTCTCTCGGATGCACACACATACACACACGCACGCTCACAGATTGTTGATGCCTTTGAATAATAATTGATTTGTGGGTGGATCTGAATTGACAGGAGTTGATGCTGGGCGTTGCTGATCTTCAAACTCCTGAGGCTGTGACTGCTGCTGAATCTGCAATTTCTGGTTGTCAGCCTGTTATACCATTAGCCGTCAACAGTAGCGGAGAGGAATCAGAGGATAGCAGTGATGATGACAGTAGCAGCAAGAATAGTGATGACGAAGATAGTTCCGACGACAGTAACAGCGAAGATAGTGATGATATCAAAGATGATACAAGTGATAAAGATGATAAGAAAACATGCTCTCATGCGAAACTCAAAACACGCGAGCCTGATCAAGATAATTCTTTGAGTGAAGATGTTGGTAACAATCGGTCCAAAAAACGACCAAGAATTGTTGAGCTCATGAAATTCGTGTAAGATCTAGTTATATATAGAGTTAATGTTTCCACACAGTGAGAAGGGCACATGATGAATGATTTTGGGAGAGTCTGGAAGAGATGATGAGTAGTATGAAGAGTTAACATTTATGTTATATCGTTTGCATGTATTTTGTATGTAATTTCACCCGAATCCTTCTAAATACGATGTTTGTAGATGAATTTTATGAAATTCTTGACTAATTACATGTATAATGAAAGGTAATTCTACTGCAAATCTATCGGGTTTGCGAGGTTATTTTACCACTAGAACAAAAAATAGAAAAAGCCACAAAGACTAAGTATCATGTACGCTTCGAGGTAAATCCATGCGTTGCAATTCTTCCAACATCGAATGAAATTGTAGGAGAACGTGCTTTGGCAACATTGTGTGGTGTATGCATTTTATTTTTTGGTTGAAAAACAGGGCTTATAACCCAAACAAAGTAAATAATAATAAATTTAGGCCTGGACATCCCAAGCTGATCTTCACGAATAAAAATACTTGAACAAGAAAGAGGATTATCAAAATAATGATTTCCGAGGTTTAAAGCAACAACTAAACTTAAAATTCAAGATGCAAAGGCAGTTACATAGAGATTTCTAGAGATGACAATACATTCAACCTGAGTTAGATCTGTCCTCCTATCTTTGACCACACAAAACTTTTCCTTCCCTATCCTTGTCTCCAAAAACAAAGGGATTTGAGTTGTAATTATAGAAGTTACTTAGTATTACGATCTAGTAATATTCATTTTCACTTGTAAATGAGAAGTCTTAGGTTTGATTCTTGCCAAAGGTACAAATTTAAACCACATTATTACTAATCCATTGTAAGGCCAAACCCACCCTCCTTCTTATTGTTGTAGATAATATCGTTTGTACAAAACAAAGAAGTTGTAATTATAGAAGAAAGCTACTGTAAAATCACTGTAGTGGAACCCCGCAATATTAGTCAGATATATTGCTTAACTACAACAGCAAGCATGATCCAAATGAACAATATCAAGGTACAAAACATGCTACGAAACGAAACAAATTTACATAAATACCCTTGATGACCAAAAGCAAAGAGTGCACCATCTCTTATTTTATTTCATCAAAAGCTTCAAGGGATCAATCCTCATTATTTTCATGGTTTGATCATAATTAATTAAACTTACCAATTAATTAGCAGCCATGCATGCCATAATTTGGATTAAGCTTTCCTTAATCAATAAGGACGTTGCCCAACGTAGTTTCCAGGTGGGGAATAGTTGCAAGTCACAAACCACCACCCGTTGGTGCACTGAACCCTAGCACACCCCAACTTAACCGAGTTCGTCCAGACCACTTGCGTGTAATGCAAGCATTGCTGCCCACACAAGAATTAGAGTTGTAATCGTAGTTAGGCTTCTCCGCCACCCACAAGTTCACAGCCGCCACGCCCGTGAACGAACCACTCCCTTTCGCCAAGTTCTCGCCGTAAGTCCCGTTGGAATTTGAATGCACCAAATTGCAGTCACCAATTCTCGAGTTGGCGTAGTTTTGAGCATACGCCGCCACGGAGTTGTCCCACACGATATCCGGCACATAGATTTGCGCTCGCGCCTCGTTGTGTGCGTTGAGGAAGTCTTGCTGTGAGTTTTGAGCATGAGAGGGATGAACTTGACCTAGTGCCATGATCACGATACAAAGAACTGCAACCCACAACGCGTTAGTTGAATTTTTTTTTTTTTTTTTTCTTTTCGGCTACAAATAATTGAGAACTTATAATAAGGATTAATCGTGTGAATGTGTGACATCTTATTAGGATTTTTATAGGAAGAAATCTAATTGCGTGAAAATTTTTTATGAGCAATATGTTGGG